TGACTAATGCGTATATATGTAGACACTTGAGTTGAAAACACGCACATCCAACTGAGACTCTGAGACTTGTGTGGCATTCTGCATGAACTGCACAACCCCAGCACCCAAGACTGCGAGAAGCAAATTGGTTTGTAACGCTAGCGTATAAATCTGCAAAGTTGATCGTGAACCAAGATCAACCGATTTCAAACTCTTGGGTGGCCATCGCTGACCACCTTGGGCCAAGTTCCCAAAGGCCCTTTGAACAACACCAGCCGGATGCTAAGCATCACTCTCCATCGCTGACAACCCGCTCAAACTCGTCAGTGAGTTTGCGACACACGCCTGCCCCAAAATGAATGCGCAAAGGCCACATCTTTAAAAACATCGCACGTACATCTGAATATCACATTCGTCCTGGTTTCTTCCATCCAGCAATATCCATCGCAATCTGCCACCTGAGAATTCCACAGTGAATGGGTTCAACTCAATGCAAGAATTCCATAATTAATAACAAGCCGCGTTGTTTCAACGCCACGCGGTCTCCAGTTCAATGTGCAGCCCCCTTTGCGGTCCACCTGAGTGTAAACTGTACGAGTCAGGTTGATTTACAAGATCATGATCATTTTTTTGCTATAACATGAACCAAGATTCAAGTTGCCCATCCCCGTTGAGGACCTTTTGCACATAGAAGGAAAAGGAGTAGAGAACAACGTTGATCGACTTCGCACCCTCTGTGCACCCTTCTGGAGCTGGAATTGTGTAGGCCCTGGGTCATGCATCTGATCATTTAAATACAGCTTTAACGTTCAAATTCATAATTCCTGAAGTCAGATGCCAAGAAGCTTTCCAGCAAAGTTGGAAGGAGGCTGCAACTCACACACACCACTGCTGACCACCTGCTCCAGAGCTGAACTCACCTTCGAGGTCGGAAGCCGTTTAACAACGTTCCCCGATGATCCAGCAGGCACGGAAGGCTCTTCAACCTGGGGTGCCATCGTGGGGGAATCCGAGGCATGTGCCTTTGCCTGGGGGGATCTCTTCTTTCTGGATGCCTTCTTCGCTTTGGGGGATGCCTTCTTTTTTGGGGATGCCTTCTTTTTTGGGGATGCCTTCTTTTTGGGGGATGCCTTCTTTCTGCCCGCTCTGGTCTTTGCGGGTGTCTTCTTGTGGGGGGTCATTCGAACCTTTGGCTTGGGAGGTGCTGGCTGGTCGTCAGCACCCTCCTCAGCAGCACCCTCAGCGGCACCCTCAGCAATGTTTTTGCGCTTTCTGCCAGCGCCAGTCTTGGGTTTGCCCTCCTGTTTGGCCTTTGCCTTTGCAAGGGCTCTCTCAGCCTTTTTGTGGGCCTTTTGGGCTTCGGCTTCTTTCACTTCCTACCCAAAAGCGATCACATCTGGAAAGTTCTTAATGATCGATCATGAACTTATCACAGTCCCGTTGTTTACTGTCCTCCTTGTTTTTCCTCTTGATGTCCGCTTGCATTTCCTTCACCTCGTGCAGGCAGCTGAAGCCCGAACCAGCAGGATCAATCGGGTGCGGTGGAGGTGCAACAATTTCTGGTAGTAAAGGCTTTCGGTCCTCCAAGAACTGATATGACTGGTCCCTGTTTGCTTCAATCGATGGCTCGAACAAAACACATAAAAATCATCCATGTCCTTCAAATTTGCCCTCACCTTAACATGATCTGGCTCGACTTCATTGCCAGCCGTCATCTCGATGTTCTTGACGTCCTGAAAAAATGCGCACATGCATCATGCATGAACTAAACTCTATTTGCCCTCACCTCAACATGATCTGGCTCGACTTCATTGCC